AAGTTTCCTCCTTCAACTGTTTGATATAGAGTAGAGCGATTCAAATCATGCCGGATCTGAAGGTGGTTTCTCCTACAAAGGACAATGCAGGTTTGAACCCTGCTGAGGAGAGCATTTTCTGTATTAAGTTTTCTCTAGTGCGCACACTGATAGATGTAATAGATACTGTTAATCAAAATCAATTGATTCCCTTTGTGCTCGAATTTTTTTACATCCTTATATATATATATATATATATATATATATATATATATATATATATATATATATATATATATATATATATAAGGATGTAAAAATTTTTTTAAATAATTTAAATGCATTCTTTGAAATTAAATATCGGTTTTATTTGAGAGATAATTGTCTAAAACGCTAATCGGAATTAAAAGGAAAATTAATTTCCATATATAAATAAAGTTTTTAGTCATTTTTAAAACAATGACAATCATCGAATTGTAGACGAAAAATGTAACTCTTCTGATAGTGAGAAATATTCATAGGCAGTAATTCAGAATTATTTCCTTTTTGAAAATCCAACAGTTGCTAAAATGAAAAAGAAAAAAACAAATTAAATTTCTTTTAAAAAAAGGTTCACATTCGAAAATGTCATTATAATTTTTTAATTTTTCGATTCTTCAATCCCGTTTCTAGACAACAACAACTTTACTTACGAAAAGCAACGGGATGAATTTCAAGATCGAACTGAAAAATTACAAGTAATTTAAAAAAAAATAAATCTTAAGTGTAGATTTTCTTCTGTCCAATCTAAAAGAAAATAATGCGTTTTACTTTTATTAAATTATGCAAGGAAAGCACTGTCAGAAAAATGATTTGAGTTTTTATTGAATCATTTTTTGTAAGATTCGGGGTGAATTTTTCGTCTTGTTCACACTTGATATTGCAAAAATGTTTTACTGAAATATTATCTTCAGGGATTTTTCTTTATAAAACTGTAAAAAAATAATATTGAACATCTCCCAAATTAAAAACTACACAGGAGATATCGAAACAAACCCCACAAAATATATTTCCACAATGTTTTCTAATAAAATAATCTATTCAGAAATCAATTCAATAATTAATTCATTACTGAATAAGTATTGAAATTTCCGTTTGAATCGAGTAATTCCATGATTTTTGGTAAATATTTTAAAACAGTGGGTAGCAATTTTTTTTTTCATTTCGGAAAAAGAGCATAAATTTTGGTGGTACCTAATCGATGACAATGAGTTGTATGAGTACAACCATTAAATATTTAAAATAAATCACAAACTTCACTTTACTTTTTTTCCCCCAAAATATTAACTTCTGAAACGTTTATAGGTCTTCTTAAATGTGAAAAATTCCATAGCTCTTATTCCAGAGAATAAGTACGAGCAAAAAGAAAGAAAAAGTGTGTATTTAAAATCAAAACAAGATTGCTTACGGTAGGATATCCAAAATATATTCATTTTATAAGAGGATACGATAAAAATATTTAGAATCGGGGCTTTTTGATAACTTAACATTGAATGTAGCCCCCTTGATTTTGATCCCCACTTTTAACATTTGATTTAGTCAACATCAGGTTTTATTTTCTGACACCCCGCTTGCAGAAATGAATTGATATTAATCACTTTTTGTTAAAACTCCAATAGTATCAGAAATTAGATTTTGAACCGAATATTATTTCAACCGAATTATTGTTCAAAGCATTTGAACCCAACTAAAGAAACTGATGATACAGAAATACTAGAACCGTTGTTAATAAATTCTATTTTGGTAGTTTCTCGTCGAGTATGTCGGGCAAATGCCAGTCCTCCCATTTGGTAACTGTCGGGAAAAATTTAACATTTGGAACATTTGTCCAACTAAGCAAAATTGCTCCTTTCTTTGTTTTTAACAAAATTTTCCTGTTTCTTAATATTTTGCTTAGCTTTTGGAAGGCATATTTCGCTATCCCAATGTACCCAAGGATATAAATGTTGCACTTTCTGTCCTATGTTAAAATACTTCACAGATATTTAAATTGTTGTACTTGTTCAATTTTGGTATCTCCAATTTGTAATTTGCATTTTGGGCTGTTCCTTTTGCTAACAACCATGCATTCTGTCTTCTTAAAATTTATGTTTAGTCCTTTCTTCTTGCTTTCCTTCACTACCTCCTGTAGAAGTTCTTGTAGTTTCCTTTCTACATCTGCTATCAACACTGTGTCATCTTTATATCTTATGTTTATGTTATGTGGCTGCCAATAATGAATCCTGGTAGAACTTCTAATTTTTTCAGAATCGTCTTACTGTATTGGGTGAATAAGTCCAGTGAGAAGACACACCCTTGTCTTACACCTCTTTCTATTTTTGTATTTTATTGAATTTATTTTTTATTCGCAGGTTCTGGATTATTTTAATATCCTTCGCAAATATGTCAAGGTTACCTAGAGGTACCAACAGATTTTTCTGACATCTTTGTTGATACAGTATCTCATTATTATTAATATTTGATTAAAATTACTTTCATTTAATTTCTCTTTATTTTTCTTGTTATTTCTAATTTATGCTTAATCGTGGAATGACGATCTAGGTGTTGCGATGATAAAAATAAGTAATAATAAAAAATTAAAACCGCAGTTCCCTATACACCTTCATCCAAAAATACGCACACCTAAAATTGTGCTGAAAGTGTGGGAAAATGCTTCTACTCACGCATAATACGCACTCCTCATTTGGCAATCAAACCCTTTAAATTGTACCTCTACAATTTCATTACGGCCAGTGTTTCCTACTCTTATTAAAAATGGTTTTAAACATAGAATAATAGTAGTCTAATTTAGTTTTATGATAATTCTTATTTCATTTTACATTTGTAAATATTGTTATTGTATTTGACATTCTTATGGGGTCGCAATCGCCGAATGTTGTCAAATTGTCGTGTTTGGGGTGAGTGGTCATTTCGCAACTGAAATCGACCCATGAAACGGCAATTTTTTAAAGATTTTTTGTAGCTGTGCATAATAGGCACGCTTAATTTTGCTTATTACATTTTAGAAAAAATGCGTATTATACATGGGGGAATTACGGTAATTTTTTTTCAGATAGTTAAGCAATTGAAATAGTAAGCAAAACTATGCTAGCAACAGCGAAGACAATAAACAGGCACGGATATACTGCACCTATTGACATTCATCGATACTTTTCGAACGGAGACCAAACAGTGGATGTGGACACAAGTAATACGTTTCGACAGAAGGAACAGCGATATGTGCGACAAGCAATATTCAGTTGTCATCCCATAAAATGAAGAGTGCCTCCATCATCTCATCCGTGCGAATCAGCGAATGAGAACCACAGAACTGTATGCGTAGGTGAATGTTTCAATGTGATGAAAATAATTCTAGCAACATTAGGTTATCCCACCGTTTGTACCACGCTCCTCAGCCCATGGCTATTCGTAATTTTTTAAAATCATTTCACCCCTAGCAAGGCAATAAAACCACTAAGACGCAATCGTTTTTACAGAGTGTGAAAGAGTATAAGAAAAGGAGAACAATAAAAGAACAAGAATTAAGAAGCAAGAAGCTAACTATTGACGTTTCACTTACATCTTGAGCAACAGAAAGATGACCGTAAGCACCTCTTGAGAAGCGTAGGATCCAAATGAAAAAATATGAAGAGTACAGTTGATGGTCGCCAGTCATAGTTAAACATTTTATTAAGAGTGTTATTTTTTTATATTACTACAAACAAATAAACTACAACATTCCACTTCATCCGGAGTAATGTAATTTAGAATGACGACCTCACCTAGTTTTAATGACATTGATGCCAGCAGCTCGTTCTAGCTGGTACATATTTTGGTGCTCTTTTATGTGGAAACCCAATCAATAACCATATTTGTAACAACGATAATCACAGTCCATCCAGGTTTATAGACTGTGGCTCTTGCAGAAGCTCTTGTTGTTGTCGTTGTTGTTGTTGTAGTCACGTTTGTTGCTGTTGTCGCTGCCAATGCTTTCTGAGACCGAAGAAGATAGTATGCTTCCTGTTAAGCTTAGCGAATAGCCATTTTCCTCGATGTCAACTCCACCTTCTTTTGTGAAACGATTGAGAGATAGACCTTCGCTAATTTCCTGGTTTGTAAAGAAAATGTGAACAAATTTTTCTTTCATTTTAGCATTTACTTACCTGTTTACACAAGGGTTATCTATCTATCTATCTATCTATCTATCTATCTATCTATCTATCTATCTCAGTTTGTTCAGATCTATCTATCTATCTATCTATCTATCTATCTATCTATCTATGCAAGTATAAATTTCGACGCATTGAAACCAATATTCAATTACTCGAACAGTTCCCTGTACACTTTATTTCAGGAGATGACAGCTATGCAGGGCCGTGTTGAACGTGGATTGTTTCACACATTGCTGCCCCAGCTGTTGAAACGTACTACCCACCACCAAATTGTGACTACATCCACTGTTTGATCTCCGTAAACGTCAAAAGAATTCAATGACACACCTCTCTTTCATGTCAGGCGTCATTTTGACAGAGTGCCATTCAGCTGTTACCTTTAACACGGCTAAAGTTTACTGTCATATAACTAACACCCTCCTCTGTTATCGCAGATCATAATGATAAAATAGGAGACATTTCTTTCTGTGCAACCTTCGTATCTATGTTTATACCTATTCATCTAACACTGCCCCCTCCATCGTTTGCTGTTTTGGATCTGTTTATCCCTGATTTTTCGAATCTATCTATATATGAAAAAGTTGCGCATACACAAAAAATATTTTTAGATTTTAAGACTTTTTTTGGAGGGAGATAATAATAATTTATTATATTTTATCTCCCACCGAATGAATCCTCCTCTTCTCCCCCGCCCCCAGTTATTAATTAACCTATTTATACCTTTCTCAAGGGTATTTGCGTGTATGGGAATATAACGAATTCGAATGGAATCGGATTTCCGATTTCCAATTCCGAGCTGTTATCAATTACATAACCCACACATCCAAGCTTACCTGGTATTCCAAGTTGGTCACCCATCTAGGTACTGGCTAGGCTCGACGTTGCTTAAGTTCGGTGATTGTACGAGAACCGGTGTTTATATATATATATATATATATATATATATAGTGGACTCTCCCGTCGTATTCGACGTATGAGGATCAAGCAGCTCAGTTCCTAGTAACCGTCAGCCAGGCACCAGCACATGTGATTTGATTATAGTGGTGAAGGCTTTGTGCAGAACCAACCACACTTTTTGAAGCGCCGAATACAGAGACCTGGTGCACTATGTGCCACAAGGTCCCCAAACAACCTTCCGCGGATTTTGAATTCATAGTTGTCCTCCTAGACCAGTTGCCATCCAAGGTTATAGAACCCAGTCTGTCCTGCTATTTACTCATAGCTGGAAGTAGAAGAGGATTAATAAATTCCCTAAGTGAATGTAATGGATTCGATTGGAATTCGAACTAGGTTCTCCAATTCCACAATCTGAGCCACTATCCACTACTCCACCGTGCCTTATGTATGTATGTATGTGTGTGTGTGTGTGTGTAGGATGTATAACAGTATCCGAAACAAAAGTGGACATGATGAAACAAAGTAAAAAAGCTATAAACTTTATAGGGTATATATTAGGGAATAATTACAATGGACAATGGATACAAAAATCGAAACTACCCTATTAGATATGTAAAAGCCCTTGAGAAATCTGCGAGAAACACAAATATCACTATTACAACACCTGACAAAGTGGGGGGAGGTGTCATCCTATTGGACACCAACGCTTATAATGAAAAAAAGTAAAACTCCTCCTCGGGTATCCAAATATTTACGAGAAAATTCAAGACATAATATTCTCACTGAAACATAAAAATTCAATAAATCCATCAAAAAGTTAGTTACTAATGAAGAGAAGTTATGAGTAAAACTGATGGGATACCACCCAACCATACTCAAGCTTTGCGGCCTACCCAAGACAAACAAACCAGGCACCTCAATGCACCCCATAGTATCAGGGTTAAAGAACGCGCCCTACAAAAGACAGCAAAAATCTTAACTCCCTTCCTCGGAACAATCAGTCCAGAAAAGATTAAAAATTCCAGCGGTTTCATCAATAGACTAAAACCCTTAAATATGACAAATAAAACATGGCTAGCTTAGATATTAAATTCCTATATGAAAATATACCCGTCACTAAATGTCTAAGATTTTTACAAAGCCATTTTAAAAAGTAAAAAATTAACCACCCACTACCAATGGATAAAATTATAAGAATGTTGTCTCATCACACACCAATGTTATTTCACTTTCAATGGGAATTTTTTATAGAAAAAAATTTGACCTATCGATGGGATCACCACTCAGTAGTATACTGGCATTCCTTTTCCTAGAATTTTTAGGATCTGGCCTTTTTCACCGTATTCTAATAAAAGAGTCAACATATTTCCAATACATTGATGATGCCTTATTAATATATCCACACTACAAATCTCTACCAGAACTTGTTGATAGATGAAACAGGATAGAACATATAATCGATTTCCCTTACGAAATAGAAGTAAATTACACTACCATATTTCGAAATCATGCTAATACATATACATAAGAATATACAGCTAAAGTTCTATCGAAAATCAAGAAATAATTACGATACACTTTTACTTTCATCACAACAATGAAATCCGGAGTAATTATAGTCTTTTATTTAAGAGTCTCTAGAATCTGTAGCATCTAATTCTTGATAGAAGAAGAGAAATACACTAAAAACACTTTCAAACTCCTTCAATACCCGAGTTATTTTCTTGCACAATGTCAAACGCAAAGCCGACAATATCCATAGAAGAAAAATACAAAAAAATCCACAAAAAATAACAATCCTAACAACCATAACAAAAGTAGGCACATAATCTTACCTACCAACACCACAACAGTCAACACCGAAATATAAGTCCAATCTTTACCTAAAATTCATCAACATCACCTTTAAAACATTAAATGATATAGGTAGCATCAAACGAGACAGAATATATTGCACAAAATGCCACTTTCGAAATGCTGAAGGCCCGCCTACTTTAAAAATTATTTTTCGAGATCTTTTTTTTATTTATCTGTACTTGAATACAGACAGTTTGAAATAAGCAATCTACTTCAGCCTGCGACGAAAGTGTGCTGTTTGTGTGTATGTGTCTTCGGACACCATATATATACATATATATATATATATATATATTGAACAATAAAAAAATATTAAAAAATTAAAATCTTCAGACACACTGGGTTGTAGATTAATATTCTCTCGTTTTTTTTTGTTTTTTTTTATTATTACTTCATTTAGATTCCTCGACTAGTTTCGTCCAAAATGGCCATCATCGAGAGAAGAAATATTTCTGCTTGCTGGTAATAATGGTTTTGCATCAATTTTTATCAATCTATACATTTTTATAAATGTGTGTGCTCTTGGATGCTCTTTTTATTTGTCGATTAGAAAAAAGAAGACTCTCGAATGTAAATTGAAGTACCAAAATGCTGTAATTGTCATATCAGTGAAACGCAATGATGATTTGCGTCATGCTAAAAACCAAAGCGAGTCGATTGAGCCGGCAAGACGTATTTAGGCCATGAATACTCTTTCACTGATTCTTTAATCAGTGAAAGAGTAATCATGGCCTAAGCGACATATCTGGGCTCCCTACTGAACGAAGGCACGGTGGAGTAAAGGATATCAGATCGGATTGAGGAATCGGAGAGCTGAGTTCGAATTCCACTCGAATCCATTATATTCACTTGCTAATACCCTTGGGAAAGGTATAAATCCCCAGCTTATGGGTAAATAGCAGGACAGACCAGGTTCTATAGCCTTGGATGGCAACCGGTCTACCGCAGAAAGAAATGGCAACCTACGGGAAAAAAAATCTGCCTCTGTCATGTATCGAAAGATATATGATCGACTAAGCGTGTATCACGCATGGCACATGACTGACTCAACGAAGGTCAGTTCAGTTGATTCTGAATTGACTTTGAGGAATTTTCCGAGAGTGAATTAACCAAGGCATTCGTAAATGTGGAAGACCTGGAGATGGCGAATACGTTAAAAATAACCTTGGAGGAAGCGAGCCTGCATCAGTTGTATCATATTTGTGATTCAGATTGTAAAAGTTTTTCCTAATATCAGGAACGAGGATCAAAATAAGTAAACATTGGTTTTACCAAGTAAATGTCTTTAGTAAGAATACCGTTTTGTTTATATGAGTTATCATTTAACACACCAAGGACCAATCTCTGTTTGATATTATTGCTAGGATACATAAACCTTGTTTCATAAATAAATAATTAAAAACTACCATGTGATTTTCTCCTGTCAAAGACGACAATGGAGGTAATAGTGTTGTTGCTAATGCTGGGATACGTAAGGTATTATAGGAATGTGGTTTGATAAATTGTTCACTCATGGGCTCACTTCTCGCCTGATCATTGTGATATGCCAGCAATTAGACACTTTTTTTCGAAACAGCTGATGAGAGAGCTCAGGTAAAAGTAGGTTCATGACTCTTCTCAAGAACATTGATAGGTATATAATCAGAATTTGAACTATTTTATTTTTCCGTAATGCTAATTGTTGCGTCATCTTGGCATTTGTCAACAAAGTTAACCGTTGAAGTTTTGTCTGTATTATTTCTCAATTGTGTGTTGTCACAGGTACACTTTAACTATATCTATAATATCAGAAAGGTAACTCAACATTGTCTGGGATAAATACGAAACATTAATTAAGGCACAATCTTGTCATTTGTTAAATAAATACTGTCTTCAACATTAACGTTGATTGAAAAGTTTCCTGTATTTTTGATGAAATCGATTATTCACATGAATTTATATCATCATTTATTCACTCATCAAAGCATTTTCTCTAATTTGTTATAAGCTTTCGCCATTTTTCGACTAAAATTTGGATTTTATCAGAAAGAATGAGTCCAAGTTTGAATTTGAAATTGATTAAGTTTTCAAGTGATTTTCTGATATATTTGCCTTGGAATAGCTGGCTAGACATGTTGCATGGAGAGAAACAAATGATGATTTAAAGGGGATAGAGCTGAAAAATACGCCACATGTAAAAGATCTCCTCATCCCAACTCCATAGTAGTTTACTGCGTCGTATTTGCAACATAAGGACAGACGTTGCCATGCAGCAAAATCACCGGTTAACTCCCCTGCTTAGAGAAAAGATATTTCTTTTTCCAGTAGAAATTTAAACGAGCCATTTGTTCATCGTAGCATTGTACAGTGTCAATTTATTCAGATTCCACAAATTCCTAATAAGTTTCAATTTCACCAAACAGAAATAAATATTTGCACTATTATATTCTGTTTGACTTGAAAGCGTGAACGTTATTTTGTATCTAAACACGATTTACTTTGTTGTAGATTCATGCAATAAACCGTTTCTACTTGCAATAAATCTTTATGCTGATAACACAATTATTTACTCTTGTCTTAATAGTAAGTTTGATCGGTTCAATAAGGTTTAATTGGAAGCTGATCTAAAAAATGACCCTCAATCTGTTGTTAACTGGGGCAAGAAATGGCGTGTTAATTTAAATGCCTTCAACACAAAGCTACTCTCTTTTAAACGTCTGAGAGAATCTTTTTTTATCAATTATCAGTGTGGTTGATGTTAACCTTCAGGAGAGTGACACACTGCGTCTTCTCAGGCTGACGTTTTCCACTGACATTAAGTGGAAAGATTATATTGAATCACTTGTTAGGTTTGTGCTATGGAAGTTGGTTCACTGTTTCGTGCTTGACAAATTTTCTCGTCAGAATCTATCTTGCTTGTACATTTATAAGTCAAAGCACTGAATATTGCTGTCGCATCTGGTCTGGTACTTCTGCTATGTATTTAGGGATTCTTGATAAAATACAAAGAAGAATCTGCAATATTATTGGGTCTAACCTGGCATCTTGGTTTCAGTAATCACTTGCCCACTGTCGTAACGTAGCTTCCCTATGCCTTTTCTATAATTAGTAATTGTTCTGATAAACTTTCCTTCCTTGGTACCTAGATTATATGAATGTAAGCACATAGTACAATATTGATGGCA